TCCCATATAAAGTAGAGGAAGATGGGCATGGATGTTAGCCCAGGGCCAATCTTCCTCAGCAAAAAGAGGAGGATTGGCAACAGATGTTAGCTCAAGGCTGATCTTCCTCACAGAAAAAAACAAAAAAAGAAAAAAAAATGCTGTTACAACAATCTTTTGTTTATATCTCATTATGAAATGACATATATTTAATTTTGAGCTGATCATCTATTAATTTTCCTATAATAAAGGATGAATCTAACAGTACTTCCTATTCTTTTACATTTAATCTTTTTCATAAAAAGTTATAAAAACTTCTTTACAAGTGTTTGTTCACAACGCTGGAAAGACGTGAAGCACAAAAGTGTCAACATTTTGTTAAAATGTTTCTTAGAAACGTATGAACTTTTATTCTCTAGGTAATCATTCAATAGTTCATATTTGATCTTTTATTTTCATGATATAAATATTAAATGTCCAAGGTGTGTTCCAGTATGAATGTTTTATATTGATCTTATCACTCAAGAGATTAGTCCCTCATTCCTGTCTATCAGTCTGACATATTTTTTTTCCTTTTCACATTTACGTGTCTAATAATTCTGATGTATAATCTCACAGTTCTCATAGATCTATGCTTCTAGCAGTGCTTGGATATTATCTTTCCTAATAATGTTTATCATAATAAAGTATAAAATGCTTTTATATCATACTTAAAAACTGTCGAATAGTAAAAACTGAATATATTCCTCTTATTTGGAATGTACTTTTCAATGTTGCAGTCTGTTTCCTCAGAGGGAGGCTGCCTTGGGTGCCACAGTCTGTTTCCTCAGAGGGAGGCTGCCTTGGGTGCCACCATCAACTTCTGTCTGGAGTTCTCTCCCCACTCTGTCATGATCTCATAGTTTATGGTAGTCTACACATGCATAACGCTGACTACCGAGACTGGCTTATTTTGAAGTGAATACATGCATGGCCAACTTTAACTCAGATAGCAATATAAGATGTAGGCTCTTTGGCAAGGGTAGTGAATTGTACACAGGGATATTAGATAGCAAGCCAGACTCAGCCCAATACGCTCCAGAAGCTACTCCTTCTCCTAGACTAAGGGGATGCAAATATTCCCTTCTAGTCTGTGTAACTTGATTACTCCTTAAAGTACATCAGGGATGCAGAGGGACACTGTGGATAGAAAGAAGGAAGGGGATAAAAGATCTCCACTTCTCTAAGTGTGGCTCTCTCCTAATTGCTCCCTCACAATGGCAAACATTCAGGATTTAGATAAAAATGCAGTCCTTGACTTGCTGAGGAGTGATGTCCTAAAAGTTCATTAGCAAGTTTCTTATTTGAAATTCAAAATAAGTCTTCCTAGAGGTATGCTATTTAAAGTGGTAGCTATTTTCTCAAATTCAGGCCCAAAAAAAGCCAGTTTCAATCAGGATTCAACAAAGACTTATTGATTATTGTGTAGAAGGACATTGTGCGTGGAAGGATTGCGCAAGCAATGGAACAATTGATAGTCATGGCCCTTATGTTTCTTTTCTATAGGCGAGAAAGAACCGGATACAAATAAGTATAATACTGTGACATACTTGATATGATGGCAAGTCAAAGTGTTATAGGAATTCCAAAACAAGCCAACAAAGCAAAACCCTGACTTTGAGAACAGGTGGAATGAAAGGATAGCAGCCTAGGCTGAAGGAGCTGATTGCAGAAAGGTATCAAAGTAGACATGAAGTGTTGTGTCCAGTCTGGCTAAACCAGGAGTCAGCACACTTGCTGTAAAAGGACAGAAAGTAACTATTTTAAACTTCGTGGGCCACAGGTCTCTGGTGAAATGACTCAACTAAGCTGTTGGAGTACAAAAGCAGCCACAGACAATACATAAATAAATCTGGATCTGCTCTAATAAAACTTTACTCATGGACACTAAAATTTGAATTTTGTATAATTTTCACGTCACAAAATATTCAGTTTTTCTTTTTCTTTTTTTGCAACGATTTAAAACTGTTCAAACCATTCTTAGTTTATGTGGCACACAAATGGGCAGTGGGCTAGATTCGGCCCACGGGCAGTGGCAGCTGACTCCTGCACTAAACCACAGGGTCACTGAAGGCTATAGTATAAAAAGAAACAGAAGAGACAGATGGAACCAAACTTAAAAGAATTTAAGGTGATTTATACAATGGAATTCTTACATAGCTAGCGAAAACATATTGTAGAAGAATAGTTAAGGGCACTGAAATATGCTCACGACGTAGGAAAGAAAAAAAGCAGCCTACAAAATCTGTACAGTATAATCCTTTCCTAGGGTCAAAACATATGCAAGCCCAACTGTTGACATTGATAACCTGGGTGTTAGGATTATGAAAATTTTATTTTCTTCATTTTGCTTATCTATATCTTCTAGAAGAACATGTATTAAGTTCCTCCTCTTTCTTGTTAGCTATTAATGGATTTTGATGAAGAAGCAACATAAGCTGTACATATCTTAAAATAATTCTGCATTCATCTAGAATGAGTAATGGCTTATGGAAGATAATGACTATACGTAGGGAGATAAGTCAAGAGGCTAGGTGATAGTCTGAAAAAAAAATACTGTGTACCTCAATTAAGAGAGCAGCAGTGGGAACAGAAAGTATGGAGGCCCAAAAGACTCCAAGGTTTCTATCTTGTATGACTGGAAGAACAGTGTCTTAGGGAAAACGGGGAGAAGGGGAGAAACGGGGGGGAGCAGAGATGAGGCTGGTTTTGGACATGTTGAGGGTGAGGTGGTAATGTGGTATTGAGGTCTAGTCCTAGATTTCAGGAGAAAGGTCAGGATTTGATACGATTATTTGGAC